ACGAATATTTACAAACATAAACTCTACTCGTTTTTTTTGGCTCAGCTAATTGACTGGCCCGAAGGTGGATATTCAACTAATGACTCGCCCATGCCTCGTGGTGAAATTGTGATTGGCGGTCCAAATGTCAGTCTTGGTTACTTCAAAAATGAAGAAAAAACAATAGAATCTTACAAGGTAATGCTATATATGTTTTCTTTCTTTCTTCTTGTGGCGGATCACTTAGATTCTCCCCCATTGTCGTGTTAATGATATTTCTTGTTAGACACAAAACCATTCCCAGATCTTTACCTAACAGCCTGACCATTTAGGAGATTTGGTCCTTAACATATTAAGCAAGCCCATATGACCAAATGATTAGATTAGGTGTTTGATCCTGACGGCCTCCATTTTTTCAAAATAGAGGTCTGATTAGGCCCAGTGCATGTTGGGTACTATCCATGCTTTAAGCCTTCAGTGCTGTGAGGAACCATTAACGAAACATCATGTAACTGTTAAGCTTTTGGAAGTTTGGTCCTTTACGATTTTGCTTAGTCATGTTTAGATTTGTGGTTTACTGTCACTTCCCTATCTCATATATATCTACTTTTCTTTTGTTATAAAGGTTGATGAAAGAGGAGTAAGGTGGTTCTACACTGGTGATATCGGGAGATTTCATAAAGATGGTTGCATTGAGATCATTGATCGGAAAAAGGACATAGTTAAACTCCAGCATGGAGAATATGTGTCCTTGGGAAAGGTATGGATATTAGTTCGTCGACTGCTTCCAATATTTAATGACTAATTTATTTAATACAGGTGGAGGCAGCTCTTTCTACCAGTCCCTACGTCGACAATATCATGTTGCATGCTGACCCTTTTCATAGCTATTGTGTGGCACTCGTCGTAGTTTCTCATCCGGCATTGGAGCAATGGGCTTCACAGCAAGGAATTGCTTATTCTAATAATTTTTCAGAACTGTGCAGGAAAGAAGAAACTGTGAAGGAGGTGCATGCATCACTTTTAAAGGTATGCCTTTTGTATCGAAGTTCTTTTACAACTTATTAGAAACGTTTCTGAAAGAATGTTTTCAGTTTTAGAAAGTACATTTATCTAAATCAACGGTAAAATCTGCAATTAAGGTTACATTTATCTAATTCATATTTGATATGGAATCACTTTTAAAGGTATGCCTATTTTCTAGTTTTCCAATTTTCTGATACATATTTTTGGCATGCATGGGGGAAGAATAGGGAAATAGGTATTTTGCATGTGAGTAACTAATATTTTGTGCCCTCCAATGTAACACAAATGATGAAGTATGCTTCTTGTTGTATTGATTTTTTTTTCTTGGTCATTAAGAAAGGAGCATCCATATATTGATCTATTGTTTTAGTAATATAATTAGTTAATAACTACTTATTTTTAAGCTTGTCAAAACATTATTTGAATAAATCAAATATTGCTTTTATAATATTACAATAAAAAATTGTTAAAGAGGATTATTTTTAAGTGCCCACATTTTTTTTTTCATTTGAACTCTTCAAGACTTTTTTTTAATGTAACCATTTCTTAAATTTAATGATTTTTTAAATTAAGTAAATAAAATCATTTATAAAATAAATAAAAATTATCTACAATTAAATTATAAAAATTATTTATATTTATTTATTTAATTATTATCTCATTACTTTTTATTATCATAAAAAAAATAAAGACACGCGTATGTATTTTCACTATTATGTAGAAAAGGAATTGGTAAATCAGAATTTATATGAAAGAAAGATGATCAGGTAATTTAATTGAGTACAACTTACATCATATTCATTGCCTTTATTGTTGCTAATTCTGTATCATTCCACTTTCTTCCTATCATAAACCATTTCCAGGAAGCAAAGAAGGGTCGTCTGGAAAAGTTTGAGATTCCTGCAAAAATTACTTGCCTTTCTGACCCATGGACTCCTGAAACTGGCCTAGTCACTGCAGCTCTTAAGCTGAAGAGAGAGATAATTAGAAAGGCTTTTCAAGAGGAGCTTTCAAAGTTATATGCCGCCGTCTAGACCAAAATTGGATCTGGTTACCAGTCTCAATAAAAGTAATTAGAAACACTTTTGTAGGGAGGGCTTTATATATATTTTTATTTATAATCATATGTCCATTTTAAATTATATTTCTCATGCGCATAGCGAGGCTTATCACGAGTTGAATAGTATGAATTTAGCGAATGATGAAATTTATCAAACCTTGTATTTTACAAAATTTTCTATCATAAATTTATCTGCTAAGAATTTAAAATCTTCATTTTTTGCCAATAGCCGCCCTTATTTCTTAAATCTGGACAAAACCAGAGTTAACCCGGGTGGCCAGCTGGCTATGTGCCTTAATTCTCCCACGAATACAGATTATCGCAAACAAAAAATTGTACACCTCACACACATGATTAAACCAGTTGAGTATATATGATTATCTCTGCATTGGATATGTACGAGTTAGAGCTAACAAAAAAAATATAACTGACATTATAGACATTTTTTATGTTATTGTTTGTAGAATCCTGTCAATATTAAATTAAGTTTAGTTAAAATTGAGATTACACTTAAGATTATTAAGGAGTTATAAAAATTATAAATCGTGAAATAATAACATGTATATCCTTAATTTTTAATTAGATTTATATTTTTTTTTAATTGAAACTACATTTGTAAGAATGAAAATTAGTGGTGAAAAAAATGAGAATTCTATTTCATAGTATTCTGATGGATAAAATAATAAAAATTTAAATTCTAATTTTTAATTAGGTTTAAATTTTATTTAAACTGAATTCATTCACCCAATACGGTAATCAAGTGTCTAATGGATAATTTGAAAAAAACAACAACATTATACATTATTTTATGATTTTGTTTGAGGGTTTAATGACTTTTCTAGCGGTGAGATTTAAATCGGAATAAAATTGTATGATCTTATGGATTAAATCTTAATGAAATAGTAAGATTAATAATCCCTTAGTAGATAAAAACTATTGTTTATGGTGAAGTTGAGGTTAAATAAAGACCCCTCTCATTAAAACTTTATGCACAGAAAAAGAGAATGGAACGACTATTTTCTTTACTAAAAATCGCGTTTTCAATAATGTTCATTAAGAATATTTTAATTTAAAATAATGGGCTTGCTTTATAACAAATACTAAACTTACTAGAGAGTTACTTCTCTACTCCAAAATTTCATCCTGCAACTCTAAAATACCAAAAATACCTTTATCGGTGTTTGGTTATAGAAATTTTTCTTAACCGAATTACGGTTAAAAAATTTTCTTAATCGACTTTTAAAGGAAAGGTTTTTCTCTTTATTTTTGTTTTAATTTATTAATAATTTTAAAAAAATTAAAAGTTTAATATTTTAAATTGAAAAACTAAATTAAAAAATTATTTATTTAAAATTCATAATTAAAAATTGTTTTTAATATTAATAATAAAATAACAATAATTCAATAAATAAAATATATAAAAAAATCATAAAAAATTTAACCAATTTTGAGCATTTTTTAAAAACTTTTTAGTTTATTTTTTTAATGATCATAATAAAAATAATACATATTAAAAAATTATAAAATAAAATTTAATATTTTAAATTAAAATATTATTCATTTATCAAAAATTATAAAAAAATATTACAAAACTGAAAAAAAAACGCAATTGCAATTAACATTTTCAAATTATATGTTAACCGTATTTCCAAATACGGTTAACATATATTTTTTTTATTTTTTCTTTAAATTAATTTATTATATTAAAAACTAAACTTTAATTATGAAATTTAAATAAATAATTTTTTAATTTAGCTTTTCAATTTAAAATATTAAACTTTTAATATTTTTTATTATTATTAATAAATTAAAACAAAAATAGAAAAAAAAGAAAAACCTTAATCGACATTCGGTTAAGAAAATTTCTTAACTGTTATTCGAACATCAGTAAAGAAAATTTCTTAACCGACTTTCAAACGCTAACAAGAATATTTTTGGCATTTTGAAGGTGCAGAATCAACTTGTATAGGTGTAGAAGGAACAACTCAACTTATTAAGAAGAAGCTTAATTTGATTGATTCTTGCAAAATACATTTTTACAAGGATTAAAAAAATCAAATATGGCAGCTGAATTAAAAATTAGACTCAAAATTGGCTAGAAGAATCAAAGGTGGATATCAATATCGATATTGAAGTATTAAAAGAAAGTATATTTTTTTAATTTTTTTTAGGAGTCAATAAAAAAAAGTAGGATTTCTTTTTTTAATTTAGTTGTATAAAATAATACTAGAGGATAGAAATTGAAGAGCTGAGGAAAACCTTAGGTAGATAATAAAGTTTATTGCTGTATTTAATGATATTAGGCAGTAAGGATATTTTGTGCATATAAATTCAAATTATGTATAGTGTTTGAGAATTTTTAAAATCAACTTAATACTATGTAAATTTAAGTTATTTTTACCAATTGAAAAGTCTAAATAGTTATAAGTTATGCTTGATAAATGGAAATTATGTTTCGTGAATTCAGAAGCTTAAGTAGTAATTTAGTAGTGTAAAAGTCAAAATTATGTTTGGTGAATTGAAAACTCTAAGTTGTTACCCGAAGATGCGAAAATTCAAGTTATATTTGATCAATTGAAAATAATAACTTATGCTAAAATTCAAGTTATATTTGATCAATTGAAAATAATAACTTATGCTAAAATTCAAGTTATATTTGATCAATTGAGAATAATAACTTAATAACTTGCTGATAAAAAAAAAAGTTTAATATCTATTTTGGTCTCTCTTTTTGTAGGGCCTGTTCAAAGTTGTCCTTTTTTTTTCAAAAGTTCATTAACATCCTACTTCTCGCAAAAACGATGTTAGTCCTTTTTGGTTACGGCGTTAAAAAGACTAACGGCACAGCTGTCCAGTTGGCAAAAAACTGATGAGTTGTACAGTTTTGATTGACGTGTTAAATTGAATTGCTTATTCATCTTGAAAGCAAAAGGATTCATTGCTTATTCAGCTCATCTCCATTTATGGTCCAATCAAGTTTTCCATCAGGTGAGCCCCATTTAGTGAAAGTAGAGACCTTTGGAGAAGGAACCTCAGAATGATGGTTCACCATGCTTCGCTCGATAAAGCTATGGCTACGCTTAGCAAAAGCAGCATCTCTTGGATTCAAAGCCACCGAGGCTCCTTCAGCAGATGGATCAACCCTGAAGGATCTTGATCCAACCATGTTTGAGGTGGAAAGGCCCGAGGAATAGCCCCCCAGCTGCTGGTTCATATTTGAACGCATTTGGATTCCAGTTGGAGATTGTAACTGAGGTCCTGCAACATCAAGTGAGATTCCATGGAATTTAGATAAAATTGATTGTTCAAGAGATCCAAAGCTATCATCAAGGTTTGATGGCTTCACCCCTGAAAGCCTGTTTAACTCCCCAATGTGATCACTCATAGAAACACGAAAAGATGGACTATTAGGCATGGATTTTTTCCAGTTAGGAGAGGAAAGACCAGACATGTCATCCATCATCAGCTGTTGTCTACGCCGATGAGCTTCAAGTCCAAGCAGTTCAAAATCCAAATCAATGTCTCTTGCAGTTGAAGTAGTCTTCAATCTGCTTTTGGGTAGCAGCAGGGTGGGGAGCCGCAGGAGGGATTTGTCGCCCCTCCCTGCCCTGTATTTCTAAACTGTTTGTTTGTTTTGAGTGCAGAAGAGCGGGGAGATAGGGCGCGGCGTAGTAGCGCAGAGGGGAAAAGGGAATTAGGGTTTGAGTGGAAAGGGGACTGCCGCGTGGTAGTCTCTTATTAGCTGAACTTGCCAACTAATTGGACTAATTGGACATGTCATTTAATTTTGGCCAGCAGAACAACTTTGCTGTTAGTTTTTTAACGCCGTAAGCAAAAAGGATCCACTTAAACTGTTTTGCGAAAAGTAGGATGTTAGTGAACTTTTAAAAAAAGGAAGCACAACTTTGAACAGACCCTACAAATCGAGGGACCAAAATAGGTATTAAACCAAAAAAAAACTTTACTAATATAAAAATTCAAGTTGCCCTTAACCAATTGAGAAATTGAAGAAGTAACTTTACCAATATTAGAATCCAAATTATATTTAGTGAGTTTGGAAATCTAAGTTATGACTTAGTTGTGTATAAATCTTAAGTTACGTTTGATCAATTAAGATATAAAACATACGCATTTATATGCTATGATTTACGTTTCATTTATTTATTCATTTTTTGAAGTGGATGTAAATATTTGAAGGATGATCTTTATGGCCTTTTACATTAGATTTGGTGAGTTTACAGTTGTTTTTTTTATCAATGAGTGAGATGTGAATATTGTAATAAACTATATTACATCTTTTTGAAAGTGGATTGTGATAATCTATGACCCATTAATATATTTTTAATAAACTAATTCTTATGAGGCTTTTTCGAAATAATCAAACATTTATATGTTATAGTAAAAAGGTGTTTTTGATCTCTATACTTTAAAGGTTATTTTAATACTTATATTCTTATCAACTTTATTGAACTTAATAACACGATATATATTGGAGTCGATTAGAATTTCACACAAATTCAAACTCTTTATATTTAAATCATTATGACCAAAATTGATACCATCATGTTGAGGTAAAACTATGATTAGTTTTTGAATTTGAATATTAAAGAGATACAACATAAATAAATTAAAGAAAAAAAATAATTATTAAAGTTGGCCCAGCACTGTGCAATTAGTTGTGCGACCCAGCCCATTTAGAATTGCATCCGGGTAAGCTTAAGGCGGATGGAAAAAGCCACGCAAGCAGAGTTGCGTGATATGAGCACAAGAAGAGAGAGAACGGAGCGTTCTGGAAGCTCCTTCAACCTTCAGCGTCGTCCGTTCAACCGGCGGCTCCGGAGGCAGTGGTTGGCGACGGTGAAGAAGGCAAAGATGGAGAGCGCGTCAAAAGAGGTAAGAAAAACGTAGCCTTTTCTTGCTATGTGTATTTCTGGAAAAATATTCTGATACAGATTGAATGTCGTGTTATCTTTCTTGATTACCTAGGACAAAAAGGGGAGAGCTCTATTTATAGAGCTCTTGTCTGAACAATAATGAAAAACATAAGGAAACAGTAAAACCTAACAAACTGTAAAGCTAACAACTGAAACAGAAAGGGGTTACTGTCTTTATGACAGTAACCAATTTCATTCCCAATAGCCTCCCCTCAAGCTGGACGGTGGATAGTCATCAGTCCAAGCTTGGGAAGAATGGATCTAAATCTGACGCGATGGGGAAACTTCGTGAAGATGTC